GAGTCAGGTAAAATCCTACCCATTCGTCTAAGCCTTTCAGACTCGTCCTTATGAAATTCTAAATAGATGGTAATGTGTGAGTCCCTGAGGTATGACAATTAAAAAGCCACTTGGCTCCAAACTCCAGTCAGGGGGGTGGAAGCAGAGTGAGCTGTTTCCTGGCTAATGGATCAAAGGTGGCTTGAGGGCATGGAGCAGCCAGCAGTATCCAGCTGCTGATCCAGGCTGCAGGCATCTCGCTCCTGGGCTGGGACACAGCAACTGCCCAAGTACTGAGTGGGTGCAGAACTCTCTGGAGGCTTGAAGATGGATAATAAGGCCCTTTATCTTCTGGGGATGATGTGACCCTAGTTCTGGCAGGTGGTGAGAAAAGGCAGATTGGAGTGTGAGGCCATGGCCACCACCTCACCCTCTTTGTGAGGAGTCACACCTACACAGGGGCAATAACATCTGCACAACTCATGGGCTAAAATGTTCTTTCCCCAGAAGTACCAGCAGATGGAGAAGTGGTTTCCTGACGCATCCCAGGCACGAAGCAAAAGGACAGTGCTTTCGGTATGGCAGCCACGGCTTGTTTTTGTCACCCTGGAGTATAGGGAGAGATGACTGTGGGGGTCTGTATCTTTAGTGCAGTGTAGTGTGTGGAACAGACCCATCCCTGAGGTTGTGTCTCCTCACAGAGCTGCCAGACCCAGCTCTCTTGGAAAGCTGACCTTACTTTCCTCTGCTTGTATCCCTTCATGACTGTTTCACACGAGACACCTCTGGAAAAGGTGCATCTTTAATACATCTCTCTTCCATCCCCTTTCCTGCTCAAACTATTCAGGGAGGTCAATCCCCAAAATAACACACTGTTGTAAGGGAGAAGGTCTTGGCTGGAGTAATTTGGCAGAGTCTCAGAGACTGGGCCACCAGGCATAACTCAGGCCAGCAGGTATTTGTGGTCACTGGGGGAACACAGAGGTGGCTGGGTGAATAATACACCTTCTTGGGATAGACTTGTGATAACCACTGCTACAGGCATAGATGGGAAAATAAATACTGCATCTTTTGCTTGGCTTTGCTTTGAGGGAATTGTCTTGCCTTCCTGCAAAGGAAGCTTCTAACCATAAATGGTGAGATGCAGATCTGTCTGGCTACTACATTCATCCCATGGAGACCTGCCAGTTTGTCACCCAGGGAGTTCTTGGTGATTTCCTTCTTGGAAAAGGACATAGGAGGCACCATTTCTAGCCTTTCTCTGGGAGAGCTGAGACAGTGCTGAGTAGGGAAAAGTGCTGTCCAGTCTCCTGAGATGATTTAAGTACCAGTGATGTGGCTCTAGGGCGGCAATACCCAAAGTGACGTGGTATTTTGGTGGACTGGTTCTCTTGAATCAGCTCAAAGCTGGTGAAATCATCTGGTTGTCACAGGTTATGACTTCTCAGGCCTAGACTGTGGGTGGCAAAACATATGTAGTGTAACATAAGGGTTACTATGGGCCTTGTCCTAGGATATGAGGCTCTGAGGTATGAAAGGAGTGTTACCATACCATGTTCTTTGGAAATGTTCAGCTCCTGAGTGCTCTGTTTGCTTCAGTCTCAGGGACTGCAGAATGAGTCCAGAGGACATGACCAGGCTGTGCCAGATTCTGGCTCAATGTCCCCAGCTGAGAGAAATTGAGTAAGTGTTGTGCACGTAATACCCATACTGCATCCATGAAAGACATCAGTAGCATCATTTTATAAATTTACAGTAATGGAAAAGTAAGACTTTCAAAACTAGAATGATAATTGGCTACAGGATGTAAAGAAACACACAGATCAACCTGTAAGGACTGAATCTTGCCCAACTTTCAGGGCATTTCTGCACATGCCTGTTCCCAGCACTTTCCTGTCACATCACCACACACATATGTGTAGCATGTCCATGTAAATGTTATAGAAATACTTACAGATTGTCCCAGTTTCTCCTGAACTTTGTTTCCTTCCATGTTTTACAGTCTGTCTGGAAATTCATTGAGCGACCAGAGCATTGAGAGATTACTGACCTTCCTGCCATCCCTCCCTCATCTGACACTACTGAGGTAATGTCTGGGGTCCCTGATTTGATTATTGCCATGAAACATTGGTTTGGAGAGTGTTAGTACCACAGCATGTCTTGGGAGCATTAGTCAGTAATTGTAGATTAATGAGTTAGGCAAAGAAAATGCAGAAACACTTTCACACCCATTCCTGTCTTGTTGCTAGAAGCAAAGCAACACAGAACCTTTTTTCTTTAATGATTTGGGGGGGTGGGAAGGACAGGAGAGATACCCTTGCTAGTCACAGCATCCCATATATTTATCACTTAGCAGTTTCATGGTATGACTTCCAACATCCATAACAGGTGTAGGAATTGTTGGTTGACACACAGTGACAGCACACCACCTGTTTGTGTGGTCAGCATCTCACAGCTCTGCCCCTGCATGGATCTGGCATCCTGCCACACTTGACACCTAAAGTGTTTCCTTGGCAGCATATCAGCCACTTAGGCTGGGAATTTAGGCCAAAGAAGTATTGTCAGGGGATAGGGCACTCCACCATGTGGGTAGAAGGCCCAGAAGGAGCTTGGCCATCTCTTACAAGACGTTGTAGCACGGGGAAGCTGCAGCATTTCAAGGGACTGAATTTTCTCAGTGAGAAGGTTATTTCCAGTCTGGGGTTTCTCCAGTCCAGTAGCCCCAAAGAGGAGTTGTTCAGTGTAAACCCGTGGTCTGTACCCCCTTCTTAGTCACAGGGGACTAGAGGAGATTCTCCTTTAGTTAAAGGAGGGTTGGATTGGGTGCCAGTGTTCAAAATTTAAGATCCCTGCTCACTGATCTTGAGATAAATGGGATGGGTCCAGCTTTCTGCATCTCAAAGTAAACAATGGGAAAACTGGGCCATGTGTATCAGAATCTTTTTTTCTTGGGAGGAGATTTCATTGTTTTCCCTTTCCCCTCTTTTTCAGTATTAGGAATAACACATTGTCCCCACATTGTGCTGTCTTACTCCTCAACTCCATCAACCTCAGTGAGCGGATCAGAATGGTGGAAGTCCGGTAAGACACAGACTCTTTGGAGCCCAGCAGCTCAGCTTTAAAGGGACTATAAAGCTTGTCATCTTGAAGAGCATTGCTGAAGGACTGTCTTTTGTGTCTGCTTCAGGTCAAGTGAAAATGCTTTCCTGCATTTACAAGCAAGTATGCGAAGCCAGAAGACATCCTGCAGGTACTGACATACAACAGTTACTGGAATTCAGTTGTGATTAGGTCTGAAACACTAGTGCAGGGACTCAAATTGCTTCTTGTGTTGAGAATTAATGGACCGGTAGCCAAAGAGGTTGGGCTAGTAGCTGAAGCTTTGGGGCTCAATTCATCTGCCGAAGTGCAACTCTGAACCATTTGGATGTATTGGAATCTTAGAATAATAGAATTTTAGGGATTGGAATCGACCTTATAGATCATCTAGTCCCAACCCCCTGCCCTGGGAAGGGACACCTCCCACCAGACCAGGTTGCTCAAGGCTTCATCCAGCCTGGCTCTGAGCACTGCCAGGGTTGGGGCATCTACTACTTCCCTGGACAACCTGTGCCAGTATCTCACCACCCTCACAGGAAAAAACTTTTTTTCTAACATCTAACCTAATTTCCCCTCTTTCAATTTGAATCCATTACTCCTTGTCCTGTCACTGCAGTTCCTAACAAAGAGTCCCTCTCCAGCTTCCCTGTAGTCCCTTCAGATACTGGAAGGCTGCTATGAGGTCTCCACGCAATCTTCTCCAGGCTGAACAGCCCCAAATTCCTCAGCCTGTCTTCACAGGGGAGATGCTCCAGTCCTCTTAGCAACTTTATGGCCTCCTTTGGACTTGTTCCAACAGTTCCGTGTCCTTCTTACACTGAGGGCACCAGAACTGCCTATGCCTTTCTTGAGTAGCCACTCATGATCATCTTGAGTTGCACCAAATTCTGCTGCACAAACAACTGAATCAAGCCCCAGTCACCACATTTTCTGAATGTGTGCCTCAAATTCTGTGTGATCATCTCCACATGAACATCCCTATGATGTGTATATGATATATGTCTGCAACCACTCTGGGAGTTGTGCTTGCTAGGTGAAAGAAGACCGCGATGTGTCTCCATTTCAGCGCCAGGGAGATAGCAAAAAATTGTGAATGGAGACTGGTGTAAAAGTGCAGCTGCTGATGGGCAGCTCTCAGTGCTCAGGCTGAGCCTGGTTGCTGGCCATGCTTTATCTCTCTTACTGTCTCATGCAGACTGAGGAACTGTGCCATCGGGGCAGGGCAGGTGGACAAGCTCTGCGGTGTCCTGGAGCAGCATGGGTGGCTGGCAGAAGTAGAGTAAGTGTGGCTTGGGGTGTTTCCATGACCTTGAGCAGGAATCACTGTGGGAGAGCTGGGATGGCATGGTTCAGTGTGGCCTGGGGTTTCCCCGCCTGTCCATGTGTGCTCATTCAGACTGTTTAGAAACAAAATCAATTAGAAATAATTCAGGGCCTTTATATATATTTTAAGAGGGCTTGAGCTGGGATTTTCACTCTGTGGCTGTCTTGAGGCATTTGTTGCTTCACCTGAGCTCTGCTCTGAGCTTGTGTTCGGAGCTCTTGGTCTGAGCTTGCTGTGGAGCTTATGCATGAGGTTGTTCCATAGGGCAGCACTTTGTTTTAGATAGACCTTTATTGGCCAAGCTGTGATTTAAGTCCAGGAGATTTGAGTTTTTCCTTCAAAGTTTCTCATAGGAGTATTTGCTGCTTGAAATGATCATAGAAATTGTAAAATAATTTGTGTTGGAAGGGACCTTTAAAGGCCATCTATTCCAACCCCCTGCCATGAGCAGGAACATCTTCAGCTAGATCAGGTTGCTCAGAACCCTGTCCAGCCTGGCCTTGAATGCTTCCAGGGATGGGGCATCCTCTACCTCTCTGAGTAACCTGCTTCACAGGCTGAGTTTTGTTTGGCCACAATGTTCTTCTGCCTTTCAGTCTCTCCAGGAATCAGCTGGGAGATGAAGGCTTGAGATGCCTCTTGGACCACTTGCATCGAGTGCCTGTTACCTGTTTCCTCAAGTAAGAAAACACACTGTGAATCTGAGGTGTCCTAGCAGAAAGGTGTTTGTGTTGTCCCTCCTGAAGCTGGTTGTTGTGCTTCTTGCCCTCTCCTGTCTTAGGAGGAAAGGTCTGAGTGAGCCATGAGCACAGCTCAAGACCTCCAGGCCAGGGTGACTCAGGGTCTGATAGAAAACCTGCTGAAGTAACTAAAAGTCATTTTATTAGCATCAGTGGGAGGCAGCAACGACCAGAGTGTGGTGGTGTGATGGAAGTTGACCCAGTCCCCTGAGTTTTCAGTTCATCACTTTTCCATGCATATTGTCCTCCTTGAGTAACTCAAGACCCATAGGTGCTCAGAGCTGACCATGTCCTGCACCAGCTTTTCCCCTTCCCTTTGTGGTGGGGCAGCAAGTGCTCCTGCAGCAGCTGCCTCCATGGTGCAAGAGGCAAATTGCACTTGCTGTGTCACTCAGGTCATCAGCTCTGTGTCTTGGAGGGGTTGGTGCACTGAGCACAGCCAAAGGGACCCAGCACCCCACAAACTGCTCTGGCTTCAGTGCCAGCTTGAGTTTTGCCACTGTGGCTGAGGAGCCTGGGGACAAACCTGACACTTGAGAAACCTTCCTTCTCTTCTGTGCAGTCTCAGCCATAACAGGATTTCTCAGGATGGAGTTCTGCATCTCATTAATGCTTTTGCCATATCTGGAAACACCACTGAAGTTCAAGTCAGGTGAGTGTTTCTCCTCACTAATTGCTGATTCTTCTCTTTCTAATGGCCAAACATAACTGCCAAGTAGACCTGTTTTTCCACAGGGCCAAGTCATTAGTGTGTATAAAGACTCAGATATTCTGCTGTACCAATTGTCATATATGCATCTGTAAATGAATCACTTAAGGACAGGAGTCAGATTTTGCTCTCTAAAAATGTGATCTCTAAGCCACTTCAGTATGCTGAGAGTCTGTGAAAAGCAACTTTCAATGCTCTTTACTTGGATTTGCATCTTTATCTCTTTTCCTCTTGGGCAAAAATAGCCCATGGGTCCCTGGGCCTGTGACATTTCTCACAGATTCCAGTCACAAGGCTGAGCCAGGCTCTCACCAGTATTTATGTTCATGGGACCACCTGGTCTGTCCTGAACCAGTTTTAGCCAAGGGCATTTCCATTCCTTCCTGCAATTAGATGTGGGTGCTGAATCTTTGGGCTGGGCTATTTTAAAGCAGATCAGACTCTTGTTTTACCTCTCCCCAGAGCTCAGCAGAGAGTGCAGGGACAGGAGGAGGCACACAAAAGCAGGACAGGTCAGGATTGCTTCTCCAAACACCGGTGCTGCCTTATGCCAATTTAGCATTAGTGAGACCTTATCGAAGCATTTCCCTGGGCTGGTTTATTGTAGGGATTGCTGGGCTGGGCCAGGTAACTCTGTCACTGCTGTGCTCAGTTGCTTTCTGGAGTTTCTTGTACTGTTAAATTCTGACCACTCAGGGAAAATAGTTGTTTTTCCTCTAAATCTTATGTTCATGTGTCTTCTCTGTGCAGTTTGTGCTCCAAAGCAACTTTAATCATCAAGTTGACAAGCAGAGATGACCCAAGAAAGATTCTGAGGTAATGTTACAGATTTTTTGTGGTAATTTTGACAAAGGTGGTGTCCTTTTTCTAGGGACAAAGCAAGGCAGACAAAACTTCTTGTTGCCCCTGGCTCCTGGCATGGTGATATTTTACACCAGTAACTGGTACATTTTGTTCGATTCACCTTCTGAGAAGAGTTTTCTTATGTCACAAAGAATCCCACATTCCTTTCTGACACTGCTTCCCCACTGTCTGTTCCTCACCTGGGCACCTGTAGTTGTGCCTGTCCCTGTCACAGGACAGGATGCTACAGAAAGCTGCACCATTATCATACAGGTTGTGTATCAGAACATCTCAACAGATGCTTTTGAAGTGTTGCCACCATCCCTTTTTGGAAGCCCTGAAAGGTTTTTCAGATTTTGGTGCCATCTTTCTCTCTCCGTGGCTGTGATGCCTGAGATTTCTGGGTCAGAAAGCCTGAATTGATTTTAGGAACTAAGGCTGTTCTCTTTTGCAACCTTTCAGGCTTGCAGAGTGCAACTTTCAGCCAGAGCACTTGGAAAAGTTGTGCTTGCTCCTGGAAAAGTTCACTGGTCTAAGAGAGTACATGTGAGTTAATGGCTGCTTGGACCTGTTTGGGTGGGCTCATTTGTGAACCTTTCATTGCAATGACCTTTTGGGTTTAGGTCTTCAAACAACAATCTGACAGTCCAAGCTGCAGAAAGACTTTTGCATTCCCTGAGGAAAGATCTGGGTCCTCTGAAAATCAGGTACTGTGTCACTGTGCTGTTGTAGATACTGATCTGAGGCTGGTGTGATTATCTAAGATCTCCTTTCATCAAAACCAAAAATGAACTGTGCTTCCTCCAAAGACGGGTAGAGTTGGCCTGAGAAATTCCCATGGGTGACTCTAAGTTATTGGTATTTGGCTTTATCTCCTTGATTCCTGCTAAGCATTATGTAAAGCTCTGGCTATAAACTGTGCTGTCTCTGTAGACCTCTAGCTGCCTTACAAAGAAGTGACAATTCTGGTGACCACATTCTTACCATGTCCTCGCCAGAGCATCCCAGAGTTTACCTGGGTAACTAACTATGCACTTGTCCCAAAAATGTGCTGTGTTAGGCTCCCTGTCACTGCTGTCAGTGGTACACAGGCAGGAGTGAAGTTGATGTTTGTGTTCTCCTCTGCAGGGAAGCTGAGCTGTTTCTGTCTGTTCCCAGTTTTCACCCTGTTTCCTATGTAGACTTTACTCTGCTAAGCAAAGCAGCCTTTCCATGTGTGTTAGAGTGCTGAGCTCTCAGTTGACAGAGAGATGGATCTGTGCATGTGAATAAAACAGAGCTGCCTATATTCTGCTTTGCAGCATAGAAGAGCCTTGGGTATGCAAAGAAAGGGTCATGAACCTTCTTGAGCTGGCTGTGCAGGCCTGTGGAAATATTACTGAGATCACGTAAGTAGGACCTCAAGTGTCTGGTCATGCACCAGCATAGTCTTGTCCCATCCAGTCCTCCTGATTTCTCTTACGGAAAAGAGCATTTTCTCTCCCTCAAGAGTTCACAGGTTTATGATGTTCTCTAATCTCTACCTTTCCAGGATATGTAAAGATAAAACCCTCTTCCAATTAGATGTAAGGTTCCCACACTGCCTTGAGAAGGTGGAATCAGTTGTTAGCAGGTGAGAGAGCAACTATTTATCATTTTCTGCTTAGAATCAAGGGATCATCAAGGTTGGAGGAGACCTCTAAGATCATCAAGTTCAACCACTAACCTGTCACTGCTGGAACCCCTAAACCATATCCTCTAGCATCAGATCCAGAGGCATCTTAAACCCTTCCAGGGATGGTGACTCCACCACCTCCCTGGGCAATCTATTCCAGTGCCTGACCACCGTAACAGGGAAAACATTTTTCCTAACATCTAATCTGAATCTCCCCTGTCTCAGTTTATGACTCTTCCCTCTAGAACATGATTTTAAAACTCACCATGGGATGAAAAATATCTTCAGGGTGTCTGACCCTTTGGTCTCCATGGGTTCAGTCTCATAGTGCCTCTGTGCTACACATGTGTAAGAAACCTTATTTTGGTGTGTGTCTTTTGGGTTGCTCTCCTTCAGGCCCATACTGGACCTGCACAAGGTAAAAAAAATCCACCTAGCTTCCCCACAGGACTGGGAACACTTGTGAGGCATGAGCTCTTTGGAGACTTCTTAAGACTTGTTGGCTTCTGCATGAGTGTGCAGAGAGAGCAGCATTAGTGTCTTTTTCCCTCTGTGCAGCTGCAGAAGACAACAGCTGTCTTTTAGGGCAGTTGGGGATGGGCTGTGTTTCTCTACACTGGACTGGGATGTAGGTGAGACATAGCCTGAGAGCCCAGGGTGAGTTCTTGCAGAGCTCTGATCTGTTCCTAATCCTGTCTCTGGGGAGCACCAGAGGCTGCTTGTGGGCTCTGCTGATCCTCATGGACAGTTGTGCTCTGTGTTTGTATCCTGCA